CACACACACACACACACACACACCATGTATACATCACTTCAGGGGACATTACATTGATTTACATGCATTTCCTGGAAACTTATCCTAACCTTAACCATAACCAACACATGCCTAGCCCTAACCCTTACCATTAACCTTACCCTTACCCTAACCCTAATCCTAAACCTAACAAAGTCTTCACTCTAAAATTAATGATTGCCCTCATGGGGACCTCCAATTTGTCCCCATAAGGGAAGCGAGTCCCCACAAGTGACTGTGTAAACAGATTTAGGTCCCCACAAGTATAGTAATGCTAGGCCACACACACACACACACACACACACACACACACACACACACACACACACACACACACACACAACGTGTAATCTCTCATCCTGTGGCCATGGCGACGGTTGTTTCTTGTTTGCACTCAAACACAGTGTTGAACAGCTGTGCAGCTGTCTGACAACACACACAAACACACATGCTAACATAGTCAGTAATCACTGTTCGATCAAATTGGGCGAAATAATTATCACCACACATTACAGGATTATGATCTGCTGGTAATAAATACAGATTTTCTTTAACTGTTAGATTGTTCTGTATATTCTAATCTCCTCTGAAGGTTACATCATGGTAGGGTTATCAAAAGTTTATCCTTAATATAGATTTATATTTTTTATTCAAAATCAAAGCAAAATACATATATTTACATATGCATATATATCTTTGTTATATGAATTGCAAGCAGTGTAGGGCAAAGTATTATTTTTTGTTAGCATTGTGTTTTTTTCTCTTCAAAAGTCTATCCAATACGACAAAGGTCCAGAAGGGTGACTTTACGGTCCAAACTAAATAATGCATGGTACAGGCTGATACAAAAGTATGATACTAATCTGGTAACCTGTAAAATCAATGTCCTTTAAAATATATTTTGTATTTTCCATAATCTGAATATATATTGTCCAAAAATAAATCCATAGCCATTTTTCAAATTGAATAAAGCCCAGCAGATGGCAGTGTTGCTTCAGTTTGGAAATCCTTTCCAGTTTTCACTGAAAGCCTCACTGGTATCTTCCCTCTGATCTACAGTGACTTGCTATCATTCATTACATATTCACTGTTATTTTCCAATCCAAACTAGTTTAACATCTCTTAGTAGCTTGATCTCAGAATGGAAGTATATTTTTATATTTTTGTGGACATGAAAAGGTTCCACAGACACTTGCTATCACATGTTGTTCTGGTTCTCTGCCTACAATCTAATGAATAATTATGTATAAGGCCAGGCTTTAACATGCCATTCCAAGTCAAACCAAATATATCATATCAGTCAATTAAATATGTGTTATCCATATTTTCTTAAGCAGTCACTTCCCTTAGTGTTCATCAAGTATCATGGTGTTAAATTGTGACTGAACAGATGGAGTGGCCTCCCATAGCAATCCAGTGGCAAACAGCCATGATTACTACCGTCTTATCTGAACAAAAGCTCTATTTCGGAAGATGAATTGTGTAAATGAAGTATACCCAGCTCACAGAAGTCATCACAAGCAATGTGCATGTATCATATCTTATTGAAAACATTCACCAAGTTACATTTAAATGTCTTTAATACATTCAAAAGTAAGATTGAAATGTAGTTGTAACCTGTTCCAGTTGTAAGGGAAAATATTACTTATAGTTCTAGTATCCCAGGCATTTTCAAATGGACAGTATGGACAGATGAATGTACTGTAGTCTGTACTGTACATTTAGTTTTGCCACCATTTAAAAGGACTTTTATATAAAACTGTACAAATGCTCCATATATGTTGCTACCACTACATGTTGTCTTTGCTTGTCATTTAGTAATATAAATAGAGATAATTCAAGGAAATATGAATGAAAAATATTCTATTTCTGTTTTTGAAAATAAATCGATATTCAGCATGTATTTGTAAGTGTATCATTATTATCAGTGTATAAAGCATACAGTTGAGGTGCTTAAGTGTATAGTTTTAAAGACTATTTTCTGGGCCAGTTTAGCCATTATTAGACAGATTAGAAAGAGGGAGATAGTGGGGATGACACGTGTGAGGCACCGCGGGCAGGATTTGAACCGGTGTTCTCCACAGCAGGGAGTGATCATGTATGCTGATAGATTAAACAACATTCTGTTAGACCCTGCTAAAACAACTACACTTTTACCATCACTGTACAAGAATAACAGATTAGCTCTACAAATATTCAGATTAAGATGGGATGTTAAATATATCTGAATAAACCATTATATCGTTTTTGGTTTATCTTACTAGTCAAATGTATTATTCCAAATAAAAATGCTCGGAACAATGCCTGTGATTTTCCTCTCACTGTCGGCTGGTTGGCCTGTAGGCTGGCAGTGTGTGTGTGTGTGTGTGGGGTGGGGGTACCTCTCTGGGTGGCTGGCTAGCTTGTGGGTTGGCAGCTCAGCCTCACTCTGCGTCCACATGGCTGCTTTGGCTGAGATGAATGGAGCAGTGCACACACTCACAGCAGAACACACATAGCTGTGGAGATATGGAGGGACTTTCTCTCCTGGCTGGAGCACAAGTACATAGTTCACTCTGTGTTACTCAAGACTGGAGCATTTCTGAAATGAGAGGAGCCCCACCTTCTTTTTTCACACTTCAAATAAACACTAATTGTATTAAGACTTTGTTTAGATATTTCTTGGGGAATAAAGTCATTAATGATTAAACCATCGCTTTGGACTTAAGGGGAATAATTATAAAAACAATCAATAAATACCTTACTATACAAATTCCCCCATTGTTTCAAAATGTATACTGCTAACTACGAAAGCATATTCCAAAAGGATTTAGACATATGGGCAGCACGTAATTTGTCTCTGTCAAGTTGGATCAAGATTGTACGCAGTCCATTTCAAATGTAACCTTTCCACCCTAAGTGTACATTTGACAGATTAGACAGGCCAAGAATCAGACTGTACAAAATGCAGTCGCTCAAACTCACAAATGTAAGATATTATCTCTGGGCTGCGCCGTTAAAACCTTTAACATCATGGATCCAGCGTCTCTCATCTATAAGCTGGCCTAATAACGAAAAACGTGGGAGACGCCAAAAGACTTTTCCTTGAAACCAAATACTTTTTAAAAGGTTTTTCTTTTGTCCCATAGTCCAACTTCAAAAGGAGTAGTGTGGACACAGTCAGTTATCGACCTGTCTCACTACAAACATTTGAATATGGCACAGCAAGAAACACACACGTGTTATGAATCACTTTGATTATGGCTGCATTCCTTTAAAGTGAATTTGCTCACTGGCTCAGCCTTCTCTCACATTTAAACTGAACAGCACATTGTTCAAGTTATAAGATACACCTGCAACTTTCCTGCTTTGCTGTAAATGAAAAGCATGCGAGGATTAGTATGTTATTCTTTCAAAGTGAAAATATGTTTGCAGAGGTTTTGAGTGATTATAAAAACATTGCAGGTATGTTATATTGTATGAATGTTTACAATCAACCAATAAAACCTCTAATTGGCTGATGTTACAATGGGGTTTGGCTTGATATACCACAGTATTTAGGAGGGCTAACTTAAATGTGATGCCAAGTTAAGGACTAAATGTTGGTTTGTTGTCTTTTCATTACAGACCGCTTTACAGTGTACAGCCCCAAGAAGCTCAGACAAGCCTGGAATAAGTAAGTGAACAAACTTGTGTGTGTGTGTGTGTGTGTGCGTGCGTGCGTGCGTGTGTGTGTGTGTGTGTTACTTTGTACTGTATATATCTAAAGTGTTATATCATAGGGTGTTGAAGCTGACACTATGTTCCTAGTTCCTTTCTTTAGAGGCACTCTCCCCTGGGTTTTGAACACAATGATAGTGCAGCTCACACACTCACATGTTCTCATATGGCAGAAAAAGGTCATGGTGGCACAGTCCAGGCTCCCCCAGATGTGTGCCACTGTTTGCCCAAGGCAAACATCTGGAGGGGAGACCACAGAGGGCAGAGGGGGGGGGTGTGTGTTTTCCTCAGGGAAATGTAGAGCAACACCAGGAAAGAGATGTATGTAAAGCTCCAGCTGTCTGATCAGCTGTGTCACAAAGTCTAGCTGCTGCACGGGGATCCACAAAACTAGTGATACCTGTGTTCCTCCTTCAATTCATCTGTGTCCTTATTCCCATCTGTACAGAAAGGACTACAGACACCTTACTGACATAACTCTCATATAAAACGACTACAAAGGAAAATCTACCTAAATCTAAATACATAAGTTTGCCAGCAGTTCCTCAGATAAATGTTTAAAATGTTGTACAAAGAGCTACTCCCTCATACATGCCTTTTGGAATTTTTGTAACTTTAAAAAAACTTAAAGATATTCAAAATTGACTGCCAAAAAGTTTGTTTCTTTGTTTTGCAAGGATGAGTGGAGATGCAATATTATTTGATGACAACCATTTTTCATCAACTTCGTTATTCTTTAATTAAAGTATTTATCTTTTTTTTCATACACAGTTTTTTGGAGCAATTCAATGTTTGGTGTCACGTAGACATTTTGATTGTAATGTTATTAAACACCATTCAATACAAATCAAATGATATATAAAAGAATATGGAACATGAAGGCGTTGCTAAAAGTTTGTAAGGTTAGGCCATTTAGCCAGGTGGACACATTGTAATCCTATTTCCTCCAACTTTACATGCATTGTTCTTCTATGTAGTTTTGCTGTATGAAGCTATTAAATACATAATCATGTCATGTTGATTTTGATTTTGAAGTTGAAGTATCTCTGCTGTCATATAACAACTTTGTAACTCCAGTTTGAAACATTTGGGAAAGACAGCTCAAGTTTGGAGTTGATTATACTGGATATAAGGAATGTAAAGAAGTCTATTGACCACATGTGATGGCCAATGTAAAATGGAGGGGGGTGAGGTGGAATGTTAATGAGCGGTACTTCCTCTCTGTCCCTCTCATCAGAGGCCAGGAATTATGAATGTGATATGAACTCAAACTCTCTCTCTCGGCTACTCTCCTGTTTCTGCTTTCTTTTCCTTCCTGCAGCTGAAGACATGTGAGAGACTGATCCAGTAAAGGGTTCAGGGTTTATATCGGTTTGGTGCGCTTCTGCACTGTAACATAGTAATACAACTGTATGTTCTTGTAAAATCCCATATTATGCCTATTTTTCAGGTTCATGTATTTTTATATGAATACTACTTAGATTACTTACAGATACTTAATCTTTAAATGGACGGTAAATAGACTGCATTTATATACCGCTTTGCTTTACTTTTCACACACATTCATATAGAGGCAAAGGCTGCCTTACAAGTGCACCTGCTCAGAAAACTAACATTCAGAAAGTCATCTTTTAAAGCCATTTGCATACATGCCAACCTTTCCAAATCCAAAAGAGGTAGGTTTGCACGCCCAAATTAGGTAATCAGAAGAAATGGAACCCCAGTAATTACATTTATAAACCATGTATTTAACATTTTATGCATTTATCAGAAAAAGTGGTAGTTTGGTAAACAGTGACATCAACGACATGTTTGGTCTGTAAAATGCCCGTAAAGTAAAAGAATGGGAGATAAATATCCCAAAGTCTCCACATTGTATTATATTTGTAATGTGTTTCTGGTCCTCTTTCAGTTGAGACAGTGTAGATGAAGGATGTGTCGGGATGTAGAACTCTTGTGTGAACATTTGATAAAGCCAGGTTCATATTCTTGTTTCATGTTGTTGACATATTAGAGTCAAAGGTTTGCACAGAGCGAAATATCTTTGTGTTGTGCCATAAATCTGAAAAATATTGACAATTAAAAAAAGTAATTTCCTGCATTTTTTTTACTGATAAAGTGTGATATAAATAATGTAAAGGCTTTCAGATTGCTGTAGTTCACTAAACAAAAAAATAAATATCCCCAAATCTCAAAATTGTATTATATTTTGTGTGTGTTTGTGGTCCTCTTTCAGTTGAGACACTGTAGGTGTAGGATGCTTCAGAAAAGACCAAACACTGGATGTCTTTCAGTCGCCAACATGTGTTTTCGAGACACTGATA